TTCTTCAGTAGATGAATGGATAGATAAACTGTGGTACATGCAGACAATGGAATATTACTCAGTACTAAAAAGAAATGAGCTATCAAGCCATGGAAAAACAGGGAAGAAACTTAAATGCATATTACTAAGTGAAAGAAGTCAATTTGAAAGGCCTATATACTGTATGATTCCAACTACATGACATTCTAGAAAAGGCAAGACTATGGAGACAATAAAAAGGCCAGTGATTGCCAGAGGTTGGAGGTAGGGAGGGATGAATCAGCAGATAACCGAGGATTTTTAGAGCAGTGAAAGTACTCTGTATGATGCTATAATGGTGGATACGTGTCATTATACATCTGTTACGACCCACAGAATGTACAACACCAAGAGTGAAACCTAATGTAAACTCTGGACTTCTGGTGATGATGATGTGTCAATGTAGAACCCTCAGTTGTAACAAATAAACTGCTCTGTGGAGGACGCTGATAATGAGGGCGTCTGGGAGGATGGGGAGAGACAGAGAGTTTATGAGAACTCTCTGTACTTTCTGCTCAATTTTGTTGTGAATCTAAAACTACTCTTTAAAAAAAGTCTATTTTTTAAAAAAGCAACAATTGTTTTACCAAATATTTGAAGAAAGATAACAAAATTCTTAAATAAAATGTTAGCAAACTAAGTCCACCAATGTATTGAAACTTTAAAAAAAAATGTAAAGTTTATTGCCAGAATGAAACAATGGTTTAACTTCAAAAAAAAATCTATCAATGTAGAAGCCAGTTTAACATGTTAAAAAGGAAAAATACAGAATTATTTCCATAGATCTAAAAAACTCATTTAACAACCGTAAAGCCCATTTACAATTAGAAAATAAACTCAGCGAAGTAGGAATAGAAGGGAAAGCTTATGACCTCATAAACGATATCCTCTAAGAAATTACAGCAAATATTATACTTAATAATGAAACATTGGAAGTGTTTCCTGACAATCAAGAAAAACTCAAGGATTTTCAATATCAGCTCTTCTGTTCAGCTCTTCTATTCAACCCAAGGCTTTAGTCCTCACTAAAGCCTTGGGTTGAATAGAAGATAAATATAAAATATATAATGGTTGGAAAGGAAGAAAAAATTCTTGCCATTAATTGCAGACAATATAATTGTTTACATATGCATTTGTTTTCTGTTGCAGGGTAACAAATTACCACAAGTATAGCAGCTTCAAACAACACACATTTATTATCTCATAGTTCTATAGAATTGTGTTCTCTGCTCAGGGTCTCAGAAGGCAGAAATCAAGGTGGGGCCCTGCTTCTATTCTCAGCTGGAACTCAGGGTCCTCTTCCAAGCTCATGTGGTTGTTGGCAGAATTAAATTCCTTGTGTGTGTAGGACTGAGGCTTCCATTTCCTTGATCACCTGGGGACTGCTCTCTGCTCCCAGAAGCTGCCCGCAGTCCCTTGCCACATGGCCCACACTGTGACAGTGTACTTATTTAGGGCTAGCAGGAGAATCTTCCCCTTCCATGGGCTATACATGTGATAGAACATAATAATGGGAGGGACTATCCCATCATCTTTGCCATATAAAATAACCTAATCAAGGCAGTGACTACCATATTCACAGGTCCTGCCCACACTTAGTGGAGGAAATTACATGGGTGTGTATATGAGAAGGTAAAAATCTTGGAGACTTTCTTAGACTTTTGCCTACCACACCAGAGAAAACCTAGGAGATTTTTTTAAACTATTATACTTACTATGACCTTGTAACTGGTTACTAAATATAGGATCACCAGATAAAGAACAAAAGTATTTAGACAAGAATCATCTAATTTTAAAAATGTAATAAAAAAGATGATTCCAATTTTAATACAAAACAAAACAAAACCACCAGGTATTTAACTAGGAAAAGAATTCTAACAAAAAGTGGTACATGATACAGGAAAAGTTATCAAACTATAATGAAGGACATGAAAGGACACCTAAACAGGTAGACATATTTACCACAGTCACAAATGACAAAACTTAATATTTTAAATAAATCAGTTCTCTCCAAAGTAATCAATAAATGCAATGTGATTCGATACAAAACCCCAACAGATTTTTTTTCATGGAATTGTCAAGTTCATTCTCAAATTAGTAGCAAGTAATGAAAGGAAAACTACTGCTAAGAAAAGAATGGAAGGAGCAGGAAGAAGGCGAGAAGGGAACTCACACTTCTGGGTACACTGATTTCCATGCAAGTCCTGACACACGTCCATTTATGGCAAAGGTGGCATTCAGACCAGTGAGTGATGCTGGGACAACTGGCTATTGATTTGGGGGAAAAGTCACCTTTTCACACACATATACAAAATTATGGATGCTAAAGACTCAGGGTGGAAAATAACATCTTAACACCTGTAGAAGAAAAGAAGAGGCTATTTTTATGACACTGGAGTGGAAAATGAACTCCCTAAATAAGATATAAAAGCACAAACCATGATTTGACACAACACTGTAAAATGATTATGAATCAATAAAAAATGTAAAAAAAAAAAAAAAGCACAAACCATGAAAGAAAAGACAGGTCTGATTACCCTAAAATGTAAAACACATGTAGAACAGAAGTCAATGTACATGAAGTGAAAAAAACAAGCCATAGCCTGAGAGAAGACATTTTCAATACGTATAATCAACTGCATCAACCTCTCGCTTCCATTGGGTTTATCAATGGAAAGCCCAGTGGAGTGGAGACAGGCTAGTGCTATGAGGTCAGGGCATCTATTCTCCAGGTATCATGGATGTCCAAGTGACTAGCTGTGACTTTCAGTCAAAGACCACAGCTCCTGAAAGAGCCCTCTGCACACAGCCTCACTGTCCCCAGCTTCCTTCTCCTCCCCATTGGCTTAGGGGTACAATGATCCCACTGGTAATAGCCCTTATGGTTTCCTTAAACCCTGCCCTCACCCTATTTACACTTACTTCCAATTGCCTAATTTAAATTTGCCCTCTGTTCTCTCCTGGGACGCTGACTGGTACAAATTCTGCTGTTAAGGTGATGTACCCCTATTAGGCAAGTTACTTAACCTGTCTGACTCCAATTACTTCATCTATAAGTGGTGCAGCCATGGGAATTAATTAACATGATTTACATAAGCTGCTCAACACAGCATCCAGAGCATAAGCAGACAGTAAGTGGTTGCTGTTGCTGTCATGATGGTGGTGGTTATTATTGTTGTTACTGCTAATATTTTTTCATTGCTGCCCAGTGATCTGAGTAGCACCTAACCAGCTGGGCAAAAACACCAAAGATGAACCTACTGTCAGACTTAAAAAACTTCCCAGAGTTTTCCCAAGGCCACCATCATAATAAATGAACACTCTTTACCAAGTGGTATTACATAAACTTGTCTTCTGTCCACTTATGATGAACGAACCAGTCCAGTTCATCTCCTACAACAAGAGAAGTCCTCATTATTTGCAAAGCCAGGCCCCACCAATCACTCATATTCCCTCAGACACCTGCACACCTGCAGGTGTGTCGGCCGTAGCAGTCAGAGATGTGCTTGCAAACTGGGGTCTCCCTGAGCAGTGGCAACACAAACCAGCGGTGGAGGCTGGCCAGCACCCACTCCTGCACGTGTGTGCACCTCTGCTGTCTGCAGGCCTCAGGGGTCAGTTCTGCCAGCCAGTGACCATGACACTGGTCCTTCCATGCCTAATGACACTCATGTCCAGGTAGATTGTCCCCATTTAGGTTCGATTGTATACATATACTTTTTAAATACTACAAGTTACAAGGCAAAGTAAATACTTCAGTTGTTATGACATACTGAACTATTTGAAGAAAATTACACAATGAGAATTGTGGGGAAACAGTGTTGCCTTGCCCCGTAGAAAGGGATGAGACATTCTAAACTGTCGGTATTTTCAAATTATGTATATCTGTTAATTCTGTTTTTATAGTGTATTTATCCCACCCTAACTATATCTGCGTAGTGTCTAAGATCTGTTAGAGTGTTAGAGCCTTAGACTGTGTGAAGGGTGAGGGAGGGAGCCTTTCTGGGGTGATGGACATGCTCTGTATCCTAATCGGGGTGCTGGTTTCATGGACCCATACATTTGTCAAAACTCGTGGAACTGCAATTTAAGACCTGGGCATTTATCTGTAGGCCTTAACTCAGAGGTTATAGGAACATGTAGAGGAATAGAAAAGTTAAAACACAAGTTCTAAAAGGATATACTTGAAAGTATATCCCACTGTACCAGTTTCTTTATGTGACAGAATAAAGTCTTGAAATACAAAGCAAATTGATCTGAACTCCCCACAAGTTTGCTGAATGGTTTCTGGTGAGAGGAGGTGACTCAGGGAGATTCTAGTGACAATTAGGCCTTTCCAGGGAGTAAACCATCCACATAATTCTAGGATCAATGCCTCAATTATCTGTGTTCATTCAGTGAGGTTGACCTGTTGACACCCCAGCCTTTCTGGAAAAGGCTTCAGCCCCTAAGAGATTTTGATTTTTCAGGAGCATGTGCTCAGAGTTGCTGGGGTTACCCCCGAGGGCCAGAGCACATGAGATCAATTCCTAGGCGGCTAAACAAGAAAACTCCAGATTATTGACTGACAGCTTAACATTAATCTAACAGGACGTCTCAAGTGGTATGCCCCAGGGCTTTTCCTCAAACATAATCAATAATTTGGATGAGAGTATAGAAAACGTGTTTATCAGATGTTCAGAAGCCAAACACAGGGGTGAGACCACCAGTAAGATGGGCCACTTGTTCTCACCTGGACAAAAACAACATCTGGGCCCAAGCCAATAAGTTACATTAGAATAAATTTAAAAACCAACTGCCATTAGGTTGAAAAGGCCAATTGCCAAGTCCAGGGTGTGAGTGGGGAAACCTGATTTGATAGAAATAAGCCCTGTGGTTTTAATTGATCACCCGTGTGGTTATAAGCCAGTGCTGTTACCATTGGTTACAGACTGACTGCACCGACAGGTCCACTAAACCCTGACTATCATCTTTGGTTCCAGGTGCCACCTTTTATGAGTGATGTGGACAAACTGGAGTGTGTGCCAGAGAGGAGGACCAGCATGGTAGGAGATGTGAACACCTTGTTCTACTACAGATGTTTTAGGAAACATATTGCTTAGCCTGAAAAAGAACAGACGGGTACAGGTTAGCTGACTCACCATCCTGGTTTGCCCAGGACTGAGAGGGTTTCCAGATTCAGAACTTTCAGTCTTAAAACCAGGATAGTCCCAAGTAAACCAGATCAAGCTGTCACCCTAGGTCAAGGTTACAGTGGGGAAAGAGGTGCCAGGACACAAGACTCTTGATTTCCAAATGCTGGAGGGGCTTATTCTCAGCTGCTGTCAAGTGGCCCAGGGCAGTGGTAGAAGTTACCCAGAGGCAGAGCTGAACCGAGGTAAGGAAGGCTCTGAGGTTCCCAAGGAGCTTTCTCAGGAGAAGGAGCAGGTCTGCATGAGGAGGGGTTCATGACTCCTGGGATCTGAAAACCCTTTAAATATGTATACACCAGAAAATTCATTGTGGTCACAACCTCCCCATACAGCAGTGCTTCTAAAGGAATCCATATGATATTAATCACAACTGTGTCTTGATACATTTGAAAGTGGAAGACATGATTTATTCTTTCTATACAGAATGCTTGGCTCCGTGCTCCCATACAAGTCCTCCAACCCCCTCCAACTCTAGCCCACTTCTGAGTTTGCTATGGGAAACTCACAGGAAAGAGTGAGGCTGGTTGATGCTTGAGATTCCTTTCAATTCCAAGGTTCTACACGTCCAGGGCTTGGCATCCTGCCTAAGCTACAGTATGTGCTCAGGAAACCATGGTTAATGCTTCTCACTTCTTGTCATCTTTATCAGTGGCAGGGAGCACACTCATGTCCTCCATCAAATACTTCTCTTCTTCCTGGACTCCATGCTGCCTGAGGCAGAACCCTCATAGGGAACCAAATAACCAAAAACCTGCAAAGGCCTTTTTGAATAAAGGGCTTGTTTTCTCACATAAGAGGAAGTCTGGAGATCAGCAGCTATGGGGAAGTCATTAAAGGGGCAGGTTCCTTCTTCCTGCCCAATTTCCTCAGTGTGCAGCTCTTGTAGCAAAGTGGCTGCTGCAACTCCAAGCCTTGCATCTGCACTCCAGGATGGAAAAAAAAAGGAAGGGGAAGAGTAAAGGGCGATAAGAGCACACCAGCTGAGCCAGACCCCTTTTAAAAGCCATTCCCAGAAGCCTTACACAGAAACTCCTTGTATGTCATTGGTCATCACTGAGTCACACAGCCCCCCTGGGTGCAAGGGCAATGGCATGGTATTTAGAGGACATATCGCCACCCTGAACAACACTGAGGTCCAGTTAGTAAGGAAGCAAATGATATTGGGTAGGCAGAGAGCCGTGTTTGCCTCAGCCACCTCCTCTGGGCATATACACTCATCACTTCCTCAGCTGTTGCTGCTCCTTGGGGAACTAGAAAAACACCAGTCCTAATGGTAGGGCTGAAGTCTGCGGCCCCAAGCAGGAGGGCACAGACGTCAAGAAGAGAGTGAGTGCAGGCTGCAGTGCTGTGTCTTGGCAAGGAGCTCCATGACTCCCAAAGCAGAACTGGTCACAGTTAATACGGAGCCCAGGGGATTTTTGTTATGAAAAACAGCACAGTTGGAAAAGGAAAAAGGAATGGATAAGCCTTTTTTTTTCCCCTTAAGACTTTGGTGGAATTGGCATAACTGTTAAAAAGAATGTCCTACCAGGACCCTAGTTCTAAAAACAAAAACAAAACAACTGAAGATTGAGCCAAGAGGAGGCAGGCCTTGTGCAGAGTGAGTAATATTACATGGTTGTACAGTAAGAAATACCAAAGAGCTAGTCCTGCTTAGATGATTCACAATTCTGACTCACTTGCTGTCTGCTGGGGCCTGGAAGGTGCCAGTGTGTGTACCCACATTGACCTGGTTGCCTCCAGCATCCGCTACTCAGGCACCCAGATGAGGAAGCCTATGAAGAAGGTTTTCCACCACTCCAACTGCAACTTCCTAAACCACGTACAGTCCCTGGACCTGGACCAGCAGTACCAGTTATCACCTGAGAACTTGTTAGAAATGCAAAGCTTCAGGCCCATCCGAGACCTACTGGGATTGTGATACATGAGCAAGTTTGAGAATCACTAGCCAAGGTCAGTGTCTACTAGCAGGGAAATATTCAATAAGAGTAACCAGACTATGGCCTTCTACCATATATCATGAGAGAGTTATTAAGTGAGTAAAAAGTCTTCTGGACTCTGTACTATCTAATAAGTTCAGAGAGAGTTTAGGACACGAGATGAATTAGGAAAACCCTCTCTATAGGCCTTCAATTAAATTTAAATTTCTTACGTTTTTATTATTCTAATCACAGCTTCTGTCTTGAAGGTCTTAGCAAGCAATGATTTATTTATGGAAATTGATTTCAATAGAGTTTTGGCACCAAGTATAAGGATAAAATATATCAAAAAGCATTGCATATTTCTAGTATTGTTATAGCCCTGATTAGTGAGGCAGGCCTCAGTTTTAGCATGATACCTTCATATATTGAAGTCCTAACCCCCAGTACTTCTGACTGTATTTGGGGATAGAGCCTTTAAAGAGGTGGTCAGGTGAAATGAAGTCATTAAGGTGGGTCCTAGTCCAATATGACCGGTGTCCTTATAAGAAGAGGTTGGGACACAGACACACACAGAGGGTAGACCACTGTGAGGGGACCCGGGGAGGAAACAGCCATCTGCAAGCCAAGAAGAGACGCTTCAGAAAAAGCCAGCCCTGCCAAACCCTGATCTCAGATTTCTAGCCTCCAGAATTGTGAGAAAATTAATTTCAGCTATCTAATCCACCAGCCTGTGGCGCTTTGTCATGGTGCCCCTAGCAGACCAATGCAGTATATGGAAGACCCCTGACAGGGCTGGGGCTCACCTGGCACTAACTGTTGTGGGAGGCGTTTGCGCCCTTCCAAAAACTTCCAGGTCCCTCCCTCCTGGGGAACGTAATGATATGGTACCTTCCCATCCCCTGAAGAAGCTAGGCGTGGCCATGTGATGTGCTTTGGCCAATAAAAGGTAAGAAGTGACAAGTTACTTCTAGCAGGAACTTTAGGAGCCTGAGCACAACTGTCCCTGCTGTCTTTTCCCCCGGCCGGCCACAGCAAGGAGCGGGCTCCCTGGGGGGCTGTCCCATCATCCTGCTCCTGGGGTGAGTGATACGGGCCAACCCACAGCCAACCTGTGATGGACTTACAGTGAGAGCAGCAGATGAAACTTTGCTAGCTTAAGTCCTGTGATTTAGGCACACTCATACTTGCACCATATCCTGTCCTCTCCTGACTGCTGCATCAGTTTCCTCACTATTTCAAATGAGTCAGCTCATTTATCAAATTTCAAACATTCAGTTGTTTTAATTCAGATAATAAGCATATCAGTTAAACCATTGTTGTTTTATTTTGGGGGGGGTTGGATTTTTTAAAGCCTAAAATATGTGATACCTGAATGCTGGTAAGAGGGCACAAGGCTTCTAGTAGAAGGTGGAAGGTGTCACTGAGGTTAGTCCCAAGAAGACAATTTAGCAAGTCTCCCTCTCAAGGAACAGCTATAGGAGAATGTAACTCCTGGTTATCATCTCATTCATCCCATACCTGGCATTTTGTACAGAGATGAAGCCATTTGGGTGGTTAGGCTGGTACTAGACCTCACTCCCCCTGCCTCTCAGACCAGAGCCCTTTGCACCAGACTGTACTTGTTAGTCCTTGAAGAATCGGAAGAATTTTGCTTTCTAGCCAGCAAAATTACCTCCTTGTCCTAAAGCCTGGTCATAATTCTGTTATTTACCAATGAAAACCATTTTGCACTAGCATTTGTTCCCAAAAGCTAATATTCATATGATCTGACCCATACGCTTCCTTCAGCCTAAGTGTGCAGAACTTCCGAGGAGCCTCTAAGAACAAACCCCATTTCCGGGCTACCAGGTCATCCACCTTTTTGCTTTACCTCAGGTAGCTCCTGGTGCCATTCCAGGCAGCCTCACTGCTGATCCGTGTTTGCTCACCCAAGCCTCCGCTTCTGCCTAGAACAGCCTGCCCCTTGTGGTCTCACAACTGGCCGACTCTTCTAAACCTGCCACAAATCCAGCCTTTCTTGATTAGCTTCCTGCCTTGAAGATCCACCCACTGCATCATTACATTCCAAGAACATAACCTCTGCATGTGTATAAGTTGTCTTGGTGACTATGTCATCTCTGTGTTACCCAGATGGTTTACTTATTAGCACTTTGTTCTCCCTCTTAGATGCATGCCCTGGTAAGGAGGGAAAGAAAAGCAGAGTGTGGGTTTTCTAACACATTGTCCTGTTGCATAGGCTGCCTTGTGTGGGCAAATGCCTTCCTCTGTGGTATGTGGAGTTGGTTTTGGTTTCCCTGATAACAACCTCCATGCAAATTTGATTGGTGAATAGTAATGTCATAAATAGTTGCGTGAGTCAATCGTTCCAGGAAGTTTACAGTATACAAATATTAACAACTATTGGGATTTTTTTTGGGAGAACATAAAATTCTAAGTATAATTGCTAGGGGAAAAAAAAACAACTTTAAAATCTTTTTTTTTCACTCTGCATTGAATATAGCATCTTCTCAAACAGGAAGGAGTAAACTTTACAACTTCAAGCTTTAAATTATTTTTTGCTTGGAAAATTAAAACACTCCCAATTTGTAATATATTTAGCATCACCCTTTACAAGTCACCAAGTAGAACGTTAGTTCATTCTCAAAATGGCAAATATCCTGTCTTAAGTGAGTGATGGAAAAACAAAATGCCATGCCAAAGTCACCAGAAAATGCATAATTGGCCTATAACAATGCTGTGTTCTTAACCAGCATGACACGCCAAAAATGAGGGCTTACTTTGGAAAACTGCAAAATCCAACACATGTAGTACTGACTGTGTTAATTTCATTACGTTAAAAATTCTGTTGCCAATTGTGTCAAAACGGGCTTGTCAAATCTTTGCAAGAGAAGGAGTTTTTTTTCCAAAGTTACACAATCTAAATTACTTTTA